AAATACAATCTAAAATACAAAATAAGGAAAATTAATGTGAAAACATATGATACAATTTAGTATGTAAGCACTACTAAAATCAAGACCGTTTTCTAAACACTGGAGCATTGTGTTTATATTTGAGTTTCAGATTTGGTCTCTTGAAAATTGGTATTTTTAAATTATCCCATTTTCAAATATATTTTTTCAAATACAGAAATAACTCATTACATAAGTTATCATTTGCACATGGTGCTCTCATTATTGTCTGTCCATGATAAATGTTCCTGTTGCCTATGAAATAGCCATCTTAAAAGTTATCATTGGGACTTTGTTTAAGTCAAAGATATAATTTATTTTACTAAGTAAGACTAAACAGATATGATTTTAGCAAAAATGCAGAGGCATCAGTTTAATTCTTATTCAGATAAGCATTTTTGCATTTTAAAACTAAAATGCACCATAGTTTTAAAGCTTAGTAGTTAATATTACCTTTTACAGTCACTATTCATGATTCTATTGAGTCTTGGCTGAGATGAGTGATGTATTATTTCCACATCTAAAAAGGGGTTAGAAGTAACCCCTTTTTGCTTCTGTGTAGAAAAGGATGGGTTTACAAACACCCATGAAACTAAAATGGGCATTAGGAGAAGCAGAAAATAAATGTCTCTAGGCTTAGGAGTAACATGAACTTGCAATTCTACCACTTACATATCTGACACAAGACTAACTCTGTAGGAAGCAACCCTATTACAAGTATTTCCCCATTCCACACAGCTAACTTGGGTAAACTGTTATTGGGTAAATTACTTAATGGATGATGTATTTCAACTATGAATACTTCACAATGTATTTTAACACTATATGAGTTAAATCAACATATTACCAATGTGTGTGTTATTTAAAACATTAGTAGTGATAGACCAGCCTATTAACAACTCAAAAACTCTAAAGGAATGGGACCCAGCACACGCAAATTTAAGTTGAGAGAGAAAGCAAACTATTCCAATAGTTAGGAATGGCTTTCATTTAAAGGCAAAAAGGCAATGTTAAGTAAGGAGATGGGTGGGTGGAGCTAGTGTAGAAAAGGAGAGTAATGTGTGCCAACACCATTTTATTCACCCCTTTTAGGAAAATATGCAATTAAGGAAAAGGCTGGGGCAGAGGCCATAAAGAGCTACAGAGATACAGACTGGCCATGAAGGCAGAAGCTGGCTATACACCACATCACAAAAAGTTCAGTCATGAAAATTAAGGGATAAAAATTGACATTAATTAGTGTTTATGTGTCAAGAAAAATAAATATGTGCCTGTGTCCCTTTATATGTCTTTATAGAGGGTATGTGTACATTATATCCTGATACTATTTCTACAATGCAGGCATTATTGATCTTAATTTGCAATTGGATAGTTCAATAACTTGCTAATGGCACACAAGAAGCAAGAAGCATAGCTAGACTGATGTCGACATTTATTACATTTTCCCATTTTCCATATGGAGACAACAACAAATATGATGGAAGCATACCAGGTGAAACATGCTATCTTTGAATGCAGATATGAAAGGCAGAAAATTGATCATTTTTCCTAGATACTTAATGTTTAAACTGACTAGAACACATTTCTCCCTACAATTGTCACTCAAGGAAGCAGGAGTAAAAATTAACATAAATCACATTTCTTTACATTTTCCCAATAGCTCCTCTGATATACACACTAATTTTAAAAAATGATAATGCTCAAAATATACCAATTGAATAAGTTGATACATGTACTTAGCTGTAGTAGAAGACATAGTTAGGAATAGATTATAGGTGGCATTATTTTGAAGATACTGAAAAGATACTCCTTCCAAAGAGAACCTTACCCTATGCTCCTTTCATAGAACTTAAAATTTCACAATAAACATGCTTGCAGCTTTTCATTGAATGTAAATACTCATAAAATTCCATTTAAAACTTTACTCCCCCAGGAAACTGCTTTCCATCTCTGGAAGGAGTATATGAGAGTGGAGAGGTGGCATAATGATAGAGAGGGACTATAGGGAGAAGAAAAAGAGATGAGGACAATCATGACTTTGTCATGCTACTCATAGCATATCCTATTACATCACTGCACAAAAGGACATTGTGGGGAAGATGACTTCTAACCGATGGCATTATATTTGTAAGCCCATAAAGGTTGAGATTTTCCAAGTAGTTAGTTATATGAAAGTACAAATGGTGACTGGACCTGAAGGCTCAGTGATTACATCTGCTGCCTACACTGTGATATTTTACCTTCATACTTAATATTGCTTCTTTATTTTGCATAAATCATGTGACGTCCTGTCCTACCACTCTATGTGTAAAATTACTTACACCAGAGGGGCAAAAAAGCAATTCTCAGTCTAATTCATTTTGCAAATTTGACAGTGACATCAAAGAGCAGGAAGTTGTCTGTGAGTAACGACACTACTCATTTGTTTAAATGTCAAACCTAAACCTCATCAACTTTCAGGCAGTATGTCAGAAAATAATGCATTTCAGTTCAACCAGAGAGGATTTCAGTGTTATTCAGTCCTGAGGAAAATAGCTGTCAGTTTCTTGACAGCTGAGTGCTTTGAGTAAATCTTTCTTTTTAGGCTGAATGGAATTGGCCATTTCAGCACTTGGGGCTGTGGATAGTGCTATCTTCCTTGACGTTATGAAACAAGTAGCCTTACTGTAGAGGTGTTTCATTCCTGAAACAAACTCCTCAGGCTAGCAAACATGTATCCCTGAACTATGCAATTAGGATATGGAGACTATTCATTACAAGGTCTGTGCAAGGTAAAAATGCAATAACAGCAAAGAAGAGCACATTTTACCACAAAGATGCAGCCTAAAATTGAAATAAGGAAGGCAAATAGTTACTATTCCTAGCTATTCATAAAAAAATTACTGCTTCTCTGGACAGGTTTTTGGTGAAGAGAATGACAGTGCCATTAATCCCTCATTGTACTTTATTGGCAGTGGACATTGATGCAGGGGAGAACAGGAACACATCCAATAAGCTTGCAGACAGTCAGGAGCAGAGGATCTATTCTCTATATGCTTTCTAGCTCTAGAGTGGAATAACAATGGAGAATTCTGGATCTGAGGTCAGAGAAAAATGGAACTGAATCTAAATTATGTCCCTTAATATGTCATTTTATTTCTCTAAGTCTTGTTTCTTCTTCTGGTTAATGTGGGTGATTTTGATGTTTAAGGGAGAGAATGTACGTGAAGGGACCTGGTACACAGTAGGTACTCAAAATATGTTCAATTTTGATTATTCACTTATCAATAAGTGTTGGTATAATGCAGTAAAATGTTGCTATGCTGGTAGCTATGTATCTTAAGAGATATAATCCTAAGGATGGATAACAAGAAGAAGGAAAGCAAGATTGGGATTATTATCAACAGAATTATGCTTATAACAAGAGTCCTAATCATGTGTATTTCCATTTTTGTTTCATTTTGTTAGTATATCAAAAAGATTTCCTTTTACTTTTAAATCAACCAAAGGAAAACAGTCTAAAAATAATATCTTAAAATGTACTAAAGTTCTCAGAGGTTTCTTGTCTCCTCAGATAACATTCTACCAACTCTCTGGAGAACTTCTCTCATTCACATACTATCATCTATTCTGCCTGCTGAGTTGGTGAGAGACTACTTGGGATGATTTCTACCCAGACCAACACACTTGGTAGAGAAGGTAAAAATCAGGTTAGTGCTGAAAGTCTGACAATTTCCTTGTCAGTTTCCATTGCAGCTACAAGTTCCTTGCTTTTGACTGCAAAGCCTCCCAGCCTATCTCACCTCACTCACCTATTTCCCCTTTTATCATTGAAAATCAAGAGCAACTCCTAGCCTCCTCCATCTCCTGTCGTTTTCAGCAGAGACTTCCTCCACACTGCCCTCTGCATGTGAAAAGTCTCCCAGCCTTCTACTCCTCATTCATCAAGGTACACTCTCCTTCCATTCACAATTTATTTCAAGTTATCCCTCCCTTCCAAAGCCCCTTTTCTGGAGGAAGATTCCCCAGCTGCCCTAATACATTTCATCATCGCACTCACCATGTTGCCATCTCACCCCCTCCCCAACCCTCAGAAATTGTTTAGGGGGAGGGGAGTGGGGGTCGAGGAAACCTGTGCTTGCATACAGACCTAGACAGGGACAAATAGCCTAGCATTAAGCTTAGTCTCATCTTTGGGGAAAACAAAACAAAACAACAACAACAAACTGTTGACATGAATAATTCCTGAGCCTGGCAACAAGCAGACTAAAAAAAAAAAAAAAAAAAAAAAAAAAAATACTTGGCTGAGTGGATGCATGAATGAATGGATGGATGGATGATTGAGATCTCTGTGGTACTTTTCTCCGATGCCCCTCCTTCTTCTTGTTCCAGGCACGGTTCCTGTTTAATTCAGCTTCTATGAGTGAGTGCACTTCCCTGCTTTGCCTCCGTCTCTACTCCCTGCTGGTTCATAACCACCTCTTGACTGGAGACTAAACCTCCTCGCCAAAGGGCAATGCCACCTAGCTCACAAATGCTTTGTGACTTCCACAGTCAAAGAGAGCTTGCTCCTTAGGGATGTAGCTTTGCATTCTGCAAGCTCTGCCTCTTCCCAACCCCCCCGCCGAAACACCCAGCCACGTTACACAAAGGGATGACTGACTCCCCCACCCACACACACACACACACTCAACAAAATCCACCTGGAGATCCCTGCCGCGGCCCCTTCCCTGCGCTTGTAATCTAGGTGCTCGAAAAAGAAACGCGGTTTCCCTGTTATTCCTGCACAACAGGGAATAACCTTTCCAGGGCTCGGTCCTGGTTCGGAAAATCAGAAAACTTTTTATTATTATTATTATTATTTTATTAGAAAACCCTATCCGAGAGCAGCGACCTCTTTGTTTGCTTCCCACGGGGAGGGAGGGGTCTCTTTAGAGCCTTCGCAGCTCGGGGCGGAGTGGGGGGTGATGGCCCCTGGGAGGGCTGCCCCGGAGGAGACTCACCCAGGACGTTCCCAATGAGAGCCACGACGAACACGATGATGTACCCGGCGATCAGGACCCACTCATATTCTTTCGGGTGCAGGTATTCCCTCCACAGGTACCGCAGGAATTCCTCATCGTCATAGTCAGTGGGGTTTAAAAAGGGCTCTTGAGTTTCATTCAGCTCCGAAGCAGATGACGAGTTGCAACAAGGGGGGGAGTCCTCCAATTTGGTGCCGGACATCACGGGCTCGAGTCCGGTTCCGCTCAATGCTGCAAGCTCCTCTCTGCCTGCCCCATGAGCACTGGTGATTTGCGGTGGGAAAGGCTGCGCGGAGAGGCGAGAAGGGGCTCCCGAGCAGAAAAATGACGTGAAAAGTTACTGAGCCAATGCCTCCGGAGCCTTCTGCCGGGCAACTTCTGCGGCGGCTTTGCTGTCTTTACAGGCGATGTTGCACCGGGAAGAGAGGCAGCTGAGAAACTAGGGACCCGGCACTGGAGGCTGCAGCAATGACACCGGGAGGAGAAAGCTACCTCCGGCTCAGCTGAAGCTCAATTACTCCTCATTCCAGCACTCAGTCCGCAGCCCACAGCCTCCTCCTGCGCTGAGGGAGAGCTGAAGCTGAAGGAAAAAAAAAAAAAAAAGTAATGAAAAGTAATGTAATCTGCCTTTTTTTGGTGGGGGGGAGTTAAATCTCTCTCTCTTTTTCTACTTATTTTCTCTATTTTTACGTGCACTTATTATAAACCATGCACAGACGTGCATCAGTCTGTGTGGATATGACAAAAATGTAACATACAGTTAATACAGAGCATGCTGATACATTTGTCTTTGTAAAGCAAATATAAAAGTAATAAGGAGGCACCTCTGTGTTTCTCAAGCAGGACAATGGAAAAGTCATTCCAGGCAAATACTTTAACATTTAATATAAACTTATTTTAACATTTGACATTTGCCAATTTAGCACTTGCTGAGTCTTTAAGGCATCTCCGTCTTCACTTTCTCCTTAAAATTGGAGAATGAGACTGTTTTTAAATTGAAGGGTCTATTTAGCTGAAATTTGTATTTGCAATAGTTAAGTGTCATATGAAATACAGCAACAAATTCTTGAAGGACGCCAAAGGTCATAAATATGATCATAGTTAATGTTGTCAAGCAAGACAGACCACCAATATACTAAACGATATTAAGCATTCACTGCAGGATGTAGTAATCTAAGCAGAAGTGCTCTCTCTGGTAAATACTACACCCCATTGGGTCTTACTTCCCATTGATTCAGGGCTGATGTCACCTGCCATTCTCTCATGCATTGGTTTTGTCTCTAATAATAAGTATTCTAGGATTTGTCAGAATGTGAATTCATGATCCTTTTATTCTTAATAAACATGGTAAAAATATTGCATTTGAGTAATTACAATCTTGCACTTGGGAAGAGCCTGGAAATCTTATCTGAACTTCAGCTTAAGAGGAGAAGCCTCCTGATAACATTGCTGACATGTCCACATCTAGCTTGGATTGACCACCACAATTCACTACTTCCACCCTTATAGGAGTGCTCTAAAGGTGAGAAAACTGTTTCTTACATTAAACCAAGATCTTAAGCCATGATTTGCCTTTTTGAGACTTTTACCTCTAATCCCTAGTTAGCATCTTGGTGCTACACAGAATAAATCTTCCACATGACAATGCTTCACAGATTCAAAATAAACATCACAGCTCCAGCCCTCCTTTTTATGCCCTCATGTTTCTTTTTTTAGTACTTTTTCTCAATGTTGTTCAAATGACAGTAGCTCCCACCTATATCTGTTTGGTCTTCCTTTAGACAACTGTCAATATCTTGCAAAATATGTAACTGGGATGAAGTAACAATAATATGGTTTGGGTCTTGCCAATGCAAAAAGTACATTATTCCTTGGATGCAACCAATTTTTGTGTGTAATTATTTTTTCAACACACAAAAGACATTGGTGGTTTACACTGAGATTTAGTTAACTACCACATCCCCTCCCTCCAATCATAATTTCTCACATTTGTGCCTTATGGTCTATAAAATTATTTCATATGCATTTTTAAACCCCTGAGGACTTAGCTATTACTAACCCTGTTTTATAGATGAGGAAGCTGTTCCTGGTGAAATTAGATGATTTACGAAAGATCGATGGATTAGCAAAACCATCTGCTCCTTCTTCTATTTATAGAATACTTTTTGGGACCTAGTACTTCTATTATTGTATAGTTATCGTGTTTTACAAGAAATATTGTTGTATTTCCCCAATCTGCACTAGCTAAATTTATTTTTACGAGAAGGGTATCAATGGGCATTTTATTATTTTACCAAATATTTCCTGAGGGTTATTTTTCCACTCTTAGTGACACAAAGTTAAACAGGTTGCTGTTTCCATGAATTTTACTTTCTACTAAAGTCATATTTAAAAGAAAATCAACTAATAAATACATAGGGAAAACATTAGGAAGAGATATTCTATAATGAAAACCAAACAGGATGAAGTGATGATGAGTAGAAAATCCCAAAGGTCACATTAGAAATAACTGGTCAAAAAGGCTCTGTTTAGAGATGATATATAAGCAGAAGACCCAATTGATACAATCATATATTAATTTAATTCTGTTAATTTGAAGTTTAAACAGACCTTAAATTCTAATGCTATTATACAAAACATTAGCCATTTCTCCAGACCTGTTGTCACCAGTAAATTTGACAAGCAGGCCTTCTGTGGCTTTGTTCAAGTTCATTGGTATAAATCTGCCAACTTTATACTCTGGTACAATGTCTTCCTCTAATTTATTAATATCTACATTTTACTCCTCCGTGCACTATTCATCTCAAAGTGGGAAAGGTTGTTGCAACTTATGTTCAGATCTATATTCATTAACATCTGCAAATTCCTTGTCATTGACAATCTATAAATATGGACCCAGTCTGCTATTTCCTAAGTAGTCAGTGTCATTAGCTTTCACTTTTTGGCACTTCAACTTGTCTATACTTCAGTCTTCTCTTCGTAAATCTTCTACCTATAATTAATCATCACAGAAAATTGAAGTTATAAATAAGGAGAAACGAAAATATTTTCAAGATTTTATCCTGATACCTGCTTTATATTATGACAAGCTGAATTTATCTTGATCCTACAAATATTCCATTTCCTTCTATCTAAGATTTATTTGGTGCGTTCTTCTAAATATGTGGTACTCCAATGTCATAAAATATTCACTTAAATCTTCAAATTATTACTTGTTTTCTTTTTTCAAGTGCATCATAGATGATACATATTACAATGTGAACATCTTCCTTCAATCTTTTGATATCTTTTGAAACATAAGAAAGAAATTTCTAGTTCTTAGGTATTACTCTTCTCTTCAATTCAAATCTTTCTGCTGGATGTAGGGAAAAGGAATCAATCCATGTCACAAACACGAAAGAAAGCTCGAAATTTGTCCCGTGATATCCCCTTAAGGTTGTTAAAAGAATTAAATGCATTGATATTTTTAGACCAGTGCCTGGTATAGAAAGTAACTGGAAAATGTTTGTTAAATGACATTTTAAAAATATGTGATATCCTACTGTAAATATTATTTGCTATACATATCAATTACTCTGTGTGAATGATAGTTAACATCAATGTACATTTCAAAATAGCTAAAAGAGAGGACTTAACATGCTCCTAACACAGAGAAATAATACTTAAGGTAATGGATACTCTAAATACTCTGGCTTGACCATTACACATTCTATGCATGTAACAAAATATCACACATACCCTATAAATATGTAGTATGTATAAATAAAAGGTAAAAAAGAAATGTAGCTCACAACATTCAGAATAATTCTGTTTAAATAACTAAGTTAAATTTTTCTTGTCACTTATTTTAGCTCTTTCACTAACTGGAATATATTAAAAATGAGGAGGAAAAAATAAATCTCAAACCCAGGATTTTTTTTTCTTGGTGTTTATAGTTAGGTTGTTTAGAGATCTTGTATACGGGCTGTCCCAGATTTTATTTTCTTATTCCTGGTAAGAGATCATCTTTTTGCAGGCCTATATTAACTTTCTATACGCATTTCAGTAAATGTATCTGAGTATCTATCGTGTGCCCAGGAGTTCAGCTAGGAGCTGGGATACAAGGATTAATAAGACTAGTCTAGCCTCAAGGATCTCTCAGAGCATTGGTGACCTGGAAATGTTGCCATTATTGAGAAACTCTGTGAAGGTAGAGAGATGCATAGTGGCGTGAAAGCGTGAAAGAAGTTGCTTGCTTTCTTTCCTTTTCTGTTGGAATGAAAATAAAATCAAGTCTGAGCATTGTTGGTAATGACAATACTGAGGTTATATATTCCCAAAATACATGCATTAGATTTGCAGGAAGTTATCTGACATCTCTAGGCTCCAAACACTACATTTTAAGAAACAATATGGTCTTCAGCTAAATTCTTCTAGAAAAGTCTCAAATCACAGGGGGTCTAGAAATTTATATAAAGGGAAAAGGGGACTCCTTATAACGTGTCACTGTATGCACTCTCAGTGGGCTGCAGAAAATGAAATAACCTCATGCCCTAAAAGATTAGGCCATGAACAATCAAAGCCACTTGACACAAATTACTACAAACATTTGTGTCTCTCTGTCTCTTTTTCTTCCAATCTTTCTATTACCTCCCATGCCCTGTTCTAATATATCTCTTCTCAGACAAGGGTCTCTCCATTCCATCCTGCCTCCTGTCCTGCGTTATTAGATCTGATATTTTCCCCTCATATTTTTATTCAACAAATACATATGAAGCTCCCATTATATTCCTATATCATGTTGTGCATAGATGAACACTCTTCCTGTCTTATTCAGTGTGTCATGAAAAACACACAGTAGTGGGCAAATAATTTCGGTCAGTAAAGCAAATATCCTAAGGTGTACACCTAAAAAAGTCTGAAAATGCAAGCAGAAGAGACATCTATTTTTCCAAAGTGGCAGCAATAAAACCATATGGAAAAGACATTGTCTAAGCTGAGAACTGAAGAATGAATGGTAACCAGATTATGGGAAGTGAGAGAGGCAGTTGGTGCCAGATAGAAGTAAGTAACTTTCTGTGAGACAAGTAATGTTAGCACTCATTGAGAGATTACATGGGCCAAGCTCTGTGCCAAGTACCTTACATACATTAACTCAATTGATCTTCACAACTCTAGGAGGAAGATTTTATGAATTATTATTCCAATTTTCCAGGCTGGGCAATTTAGTGTGACACTATCTTGAAAAACTTAAAAAAAAAAATACCCGGGCATGGTGGCATGTGCCTGTGTTCCTAGCTATCTGGGAGACTGAAGAGGGAGAATCACTTGAACTCAGGAGGTTGAGGCTGCAGTGAGCTGTGGTCACACCACTGGACTCCAACCTGGGCAACAGAATGAGACACTGCCTCAAAAAAAGCATACGTTATTCCAATTTTACAAATGAAGAAATTGACACACAAAGAAGTTAAGTAACTTGCCCAAGGTCATGAAAGTGGTGGACTGTTTAAGCTGAGTTGTCAAGGTCCAATTTCAGAAATAAGCTTTTTGCTGTTACTCTATTCTGTTTC